TAAAGGTCGTCAATATCAGAATTTTTGTTTTTTTTTTGAAATTTTTTTTTTGAAAAACTCGAAAATTTTTGATATTATTTTCTGAAAGTTAATCCAGGAAAAATAACATTTTCCTTAATTTCTTATAGTTTTTCCAGTAAAACGTGTTAAATCGGCTACTTGACCGTCCAATTTAAGAATCCCAGCTATATTGATAGTATCATCTGATAATATAAACGAATTCTTGTAGAAAAGGAATATTAACCTTTTTTAAAACAATGTCCTTAATAGCTTTCGCAAGTACATACTTAATTACATTTCAATTTTACGATGACTGTGAAAATAATTTCTTATTTTCATAACAATTTTATTACATTAGCACATTTTTAGTGGAGATCGTAAAAAGAGTACACTATTTACGGGAATCTGTATAACGATAATGAATATTACGTACCTAAGGGAATTTTTAAAATAAACAAAAATAAATTCTATTTAATGTTATCAGCGCCACAAATTTTTATAGCGGAAAGTAGACTAACTAAAATATCTAAATAAAAAAATATATAAAAGCGAAAATAACTAGGTAGTTTTACAAAAAAATAAATTCAAACAAAAAAAAAACATAAAAGGAAAATTTCTCACGCATGTCTTATTTAATTTTAAATGAATAATACAATATGAAAAAGAATCCTTATAGGTAAGCTATACGTAGGTTTTTGTTTTTTTAGTAATTTTTTAAATTTTAAAATTAATTAATACAATGTTGCAATTTCGAATTTTTTAGTTTCGAAATTAAAAATTTATTTAATTTTATACACAACTGTGTAATAGGGGATAATGCATAGGGGACAAATAATATAGTATGTATGTATGTGTGCATGTAAAAGAACTATTGTGAATAGTTTTTACATACAGATTTAGAAAGTTACATACTAAAAAAATAAAATAAGAAAAAATATTTTTGTTTGTTGCAATTCATTATTCATACGAAAAGGACATTTTCGTAGAATCTCTTTTGTTTATTCACAATACATTTAAATTTTTTATAATATTTTGTATATTTGTAGTTGCTATTTTTTATTTTTTTCTATTACTTTACCTTGCTTTTTTGCTAATAGCCTTTTTATCAACTTTTCCCTTTTATTTTTCGTGCAAATAGTAAGTTTTTGTATTTAAAATTTTCATTGTTACCTATACATTTGATAGAATTCTGATTCTTATGGTTTACAGGATTTATTTTTCAATAAAGATAAAAGAAAAATATATGTACACATACATAATTTTACAATAATATAGGAAAAAAGGAAAAAATTGAAAAAATATTTTTCAATAATTTTATATTGCTTGTTGAATAATAAATTAGATTTTTATTTTATTCATTTCTGTTTTTTGCTCAAATTGGCACTTGAGTTTTTCATGATAATGCGATAATTTTTCCAAATGGCATGGCAAACAATTCTTGTTTTTTTGTTTAAACTTCATATACATTACATATGTATGTATTATTTGTATGTAAATAAAAAATTTCATATTTTATTTTAAGAAAACAAAGCGAATTTTGTTCTTCCTACATTAAAATTTTATATCTAATATGCTTTTGAACAAACTTTAAAAGGAGTCACTGAAAATAACAAAAAAAAAGTGCTCTTGAATTTTTAAAATTTACTTGCATATAGAAAGAAAAAACATTTGTAGTAGAGCGCGCCTACAATTTCTCAGGAAATATTTATAATATGAAAGTATTGGTTTTGTCTTTTAATAGTTAAATTACGCTGCAACGAACTTGGACCAAATCACTCGGAAGTTGCTTACATTTTATGCACTTTCTAAATCTTCAAATATATTATTCTCTTAATAACTTCTTTGGAAAGTTATTAAGGCTGACTTTATTGACATAAAGGGTGTTCTCAACAATACCTCATACGACTAGATCGCGCCTTCTTTGATGAGAAGAGATATTAATTAGCACTGCTGTACAGCTGTCATGTCGATTCGTCGGTTTTGGTATTAATGGTATACCTAATGGTAATCTTGCCGGACTTTTTATGTCAACATAGACTCCTTGCAATATAATTCAATGATAGTATATTGGGGCAAGGGGTAATAATAATTAAATTCTTTCATTAGGTGGGAGAAACTAATAGAGCCGTAGCCAGTTTCATGTTTTGAACAAGAAATCATGGTGTCTCAAACAATGTGAAGTTTAAGATTCCCGGCCGATAACGCCCTTACGTGGCAGTCATATTATGACATTGTAATTGAGCAAACTATTGCTGGCTTTGATGGTAAAAAATCTGGTGAACTCGCAAATAGGCCCACTATTGTTGGATTCGGGGTCATTAAATTGAGCCCGCCCCCTTGAACTTTCCAGAATTATGGAACACCTCTTCAACAATTTTTAAGCTAGGTTTTTGACCTTGACTGCTGCATAAATGTAAAATATCTTAGGGGATATGTAAATATAGAACCCCTAACATAGTCTTGGATAGTCAAGTGATGATAGAAATTTATAGTGACATGATGTTAATGCGAGATTTCAAAATCGAGAAATTTGTTTGACTCGAGTAGCGTTCAGAGTTTTATCATGAAAAAAAAATTTCTCTTGTTTTTTCCTTTATGAAATTTTGTAAATTTTTTATTGATCCAAATCAATATCAAGTAAAAAAAAAATTAATTTTCTTCGATTTTAAAACAAAGTTATTAATTCTATTCAATTTAATATTTTCCGTAAACAAACAGTGACGTTTCAAAAAAACTCCCAAAAGAAATTGACTTGAAGATTTTTTTTTGTAAAAATCCGACAGATTTCTTTTAAATTGATAATAAAGATATCTAATGTTACCTCTTACTTAGTTACCAATAACTTTTCAACATAATAATTTTGTGGAAATGATGAATATCAAAAATCTTTCAATATTTTTACACAGCATGTTGTTGTTTTTTTTTTAACTTATGACATTTTATGTTCACTTTTCTGTTAACAAAGAAAGAGAACAACTCTTTTCATTGATAATAATAAATAACAATACACGCATACATACATATACACTAATATTAAAATACTTCTAAGTATGATTTTAAATTATTTCTCGTCACGTAAGAGCGCAAAAATAGCAAAAAAAAAAAACGAAAACGTTCCATCATCAACAAGGAAGTCTTTAATGATCCTGTCTTATGCTTTCATTATATCACAAATAATGTGATATATTTATGTATGCGTATATAATGAGTATGTATATTTTTTTTTATTTTTCACATTTTTATTGTTTTCTCAGCTAATAAATACATGAGATAAAGATAAACACATAACTTTATATATATATACGAGTATACAAATTGTCTCTAACTCTCTTTATCTTCATTTCTGTACAACAAAATCAATAACATATTTTACAGGATTAAAATGTGACATTGCCTTGAAAAATGACTTGAAAAGCAACAAATTTGCTATGATCTAAAGGATGTTGCACTTAAAAAAATAACAAGAAAGAAAAATATAAATAACAAGCAATGTACAATGAAGTCTGTAAGAATCTAGATAGCTAAGTATAAATATTCTCGTATATGATATACAAACGTTTATAATAATAATTAAACGCTTCCAATATCTTAAATTGAATAAAATACAAGCGAATTAATTGATAAGCTTGTGAATTTTTATGAGCCAATAACCATTTGGGATTTCAATACATCAACATATTATTAAAATATTTTTATACTCAACTCAATTAAATTCAAAATTTATATATATAGGACGAGTTCTCCTACCAATGGACGAAAAATGAATTTTCATTTTCATCCTCTGGATTCTTAACTCTGGTCAGAATAAAATTTTCAATTTTTGTTTCTAACCAGAGTTAAGCATGCTCTTCTAGATAAATTTTTTTGCTTTAAATTGATAAAAAATACAAAAATGTTAAAGTCTATCAAGTACGTGTTGAGTGTTCATGCACCTATGAAGGCATGCACCATTGTACTCGTGTTGTTTTATGGATTAAAATTTTATTAGTTAGTTTATTAAGAAAGATCTAGAAAACGATATGTAGATAGGAATGTTGGCTGAGGATTTACAAACCTACATTTTAAATTTTTTATTTTTAAAAAATTATTGTGTTAAATGTACGTACACGTATAGGTACTAACTCAAACGTGCCCAACTAATTTCTGACATATTACAACTGTTCACAAGTAAAGTAGTCTTCTGGTTACAAGACCTATATTCATATTATCTAATAATTTATATACACATATTATGATTTTATTTATTTGTATATAAAAAGTATTATATTTTGAGAAAAAGCTGAACGAAGTTTCTTTGAGTTAATTTTAAAATCCAATAATTTTTCTCTGTAATTCAGCATCTTTTCTCTTGAAGACGGGAAATGCCTAGTTTTCAAACCAAAATGGTTTTTCAAATTTATTTTTCTCGCCAATTTATCAACCAATTTTTTTTTAATTTTAATACTAGATATTCAAAAATATGCACGGAGAATTAGAAGATTTTAAATTTCACACAAATAATTTCCACCACCTCATTTGATTTTTGTATAAGCTTGGACTTCATTGGTGAATGGATAGATAATATGTTTGGCAACAACACTAGGTATTTACAGAGTATATAACTTTATTTACCGATACAGAGTATAACAATCTATTCTATATAGATTGTTAAAAATAATATTTTGGCTACCAACAAAATATTATTTATAAACAAATTTAAGTAAGTTAAATCATAAATTAATTCTATCTTTATTTATGCCTTAGATTTTCCTGTAAAAAACCAGAAAAGAAAAAAAGCAAACATTCTATATCAAAATTCCAATACACCACAGAGATTTTCAACAATATGCAATATAAGTGTATATGTATAAAGAGCACTCAGCAACACCACAAATTCAAAATAATTTTCTTTTAGTTTCAATTTAATTTTTTGTTATAACCATTTCTTTTTTTTTGTGTATAATTTTCATAATTTGTTTTTACGCCATTTTAATATACAAAAAACAAAAAATATAATTTACCTGTAAATGTGGCAGAGATAATAATTGAATTAATTCTCCTTTATCCCTAGCAAATTTATGACCAGAAGAAGATGAAACAGCATCAATTGCATCACGACATCTTGAAACAGCATCACCCGGTGGTGCTCTAGCTGGTGACATTACTGTACAACTAATACGATCGAATAACTGTTAAATTTAATAAAAAAAAAAATTAGTATAGAAAATTGTAACTTTCGAAATTATACTAGCTTTCATAACTTTGAAAAATATAAGAAAAATTTTGTTAGTAAAAATTATCTAAGCCAACCGTCAGCAAACTTTTGTGGGTTATGAGCAAATATATACTATGTGAGTATGAGTATGGGCCATTCGAGTTTCTTACAGTACCTACTTACGAGAAGAAATTTTTAATCTTAAATCGATTGTGTTGTTTTGACAAATAATAAATTTGTACAAAATTTTATGTACCTAATTTCCTAAATTTTTTTTTATTAAAAGCAAAATGATGGGCCGCTCTTTGACGACAGCTAACTATTATATGTCATCTAAACTCAGTTAAAAAGTGTTAATAAAGTTTCTCTTTATTATTTTATTTCAAAATAATTATATTTCACAATTGCTTTAAAATAAAAATAATTAATAAGGGTGGCACATGGCTAAAAGGAAATCGATTGCATACCTAGTCATCGTTACTAGAATGCTACTGGATACCGCATATGCATTGAAAAGTAAAATTCAACACGATCGCAATACCCTATACGTTATTGTATGCGATTCTGTCGGTAAGAAATTAATAACATTAAATCAATCAACTCTCAATTGAAAAATAAACTAAGTGTAATTTTTAGACTTTAATAACACAAAATTAAGAGTTAAACTTCTTATACACAGCAACGTAAACTTTGCAAAATTACAAATTTATTTCTTGTAGAAAAACATGAAGACACTACATTCTATATTAAAAAAGTTCTTAAAGAAAATACTCATGGATATTTCTAATTTAAACTTAAGAAAACTCATTAAAAGCATTTTATTGCTGTTGCAATAGAAACTTAATATTATCCTTCTACTTTGATAATTAAAATAAATATTTTATTTGAAAAGAGAAAACTTATTTAAAATTTTTCTTTTAACTATTCTAAATGTACAATTAAAAATTATTTTATTGTTGAGAAATAATAATGAAATTTAAGGTTCTGTACACGTAAAATGAGGGAAAAATTGTTGTATGATGTAATTTTAAAATTTATTATTCATGTTTTATGAAAATAATTCTAAAATAATAAATTTTGAATAAAAAATGAACTTACCTGTAGTAGTTGATGTAATTTTGTATCTCGTAACATATCACGTAAAACTTCTGGATCAATAAAGGCATCTTGCAAAGCATATATATCATCCAATGAATCTAAAACTTTTTGTACGGCTTCAAGACCAGCTTCTTCATCAGCCCATTCATTTAAACTTTCTGATGCAGTTCCTATTGGCACTGGAATTATTAATATATTATAAAAACGATCAATATTATATTTGAAATGTATATTACCGTAAAAATTTGAGTACAATTAGTAATGCATTATAAAATAATTTTAATGTACATGACATGAGTTTCTAGAAAATTTTAAATTGCAATATAAATTAATTATGAGAACGTACAAATTTGGACTTCTAAACTAATTTTTGTTTGAAAATGGCACATTTTCACTTTAAAAGCGTTAAATAACAAAGTTCATTTAGTAAATTTTTGGACAAGGAGGCCATTATTGTCATAATCCAAACTTTTAAACTAATAATTGATTGAATGTCGATATTTTGCAATATTTGAAAGATACAAGTGACAATGAGGTGACAATACAAGTGACAACGTTCAGATGACAACTTGGTAAAGATAAATTTTATTCTTTTTCAATAAAGTATTATACTAGATTCTATACAAACTGAAAAATATTTCTTGTCGTGTAAAGGAATAAATTTTTTTATTTTGATCTGGAAAAATTATTTTTTCTCTAAAATTTATTTATCCTAAGAAATTTGAACTGCCCTGCAAGAGTGAAAAATTATGGCAAACATACTCTTTCCAAAGTGTTTTTGAAAACAAAGTAATAAAAACTTTAAAGTACCGTTAGATACCTATTACCGTTTAAAAAATTAATCTACTATAGTAAATTAAGTAAGTGTAACTGGGTCGAACAAGATATCGAAGATTAGCATAGATTCCTCAAGAGAACGCTCAATGATAACCTGGTGATCACGGAGTAATGGTAGAAAAATGGCACAAATGTGCTAGTTGCGATGTGGTGGACTTGCTCCGTCGGCCACGTTTAGAGACCAACCAAAGTAAATTATATGTTTTTTGTTATGTATTTAAAATTCGTTAAATTTAGGATGAAATAAACTAAAAGCAAGACAAAATATACCGAATTCCAACTTAATTTTAAAATATGCGATTCGTCAATATCCCTTGGATATCTTCGTTTAACATTTACATCATATTATTCTTATTATAAGCGTAAAAAATTTCATAATTATGAATATATTATGAGGAATTTGAAATATATACATAGTCGAATCATTTTAAAACTAAAGCATTGTTATATGACAAAAATCTATGCAAAACATAAATGCATACACATATACACATATACATAAGTATACATAAATAATAATATGCTGATACCTTTTTGTCTAAGCAACCAACAAAAATTTGATATTTCGAATGATGCTTTATAAATGAATTGTCTTCTGTACAACTACATAATAAAGCAAATAGTATACTGTTGTTCTGAAACTAAGAGTACCACTTAACCTGATTAAATAAAATTTTCTTAAGGATTTAATAATGCTCTCAGTTTTAACGAGTATATACTCGTATATGTATGTGTATGTTACTGCACTTTTATATATTTATAATCCTTATATTATTATAAAGGAATAACAAAAACAAAAATTTTTTCTCTCCATTATAAATTTGAGGTAATGAGTAGTAAAACAGAACTGAAAGAAAACTGAACGTACCAAAAAAGAAAAGAAAATTAATGAAAGTTTAGGCGATCTTAGGGGATAAAGGTAAGGAAACTATAGATTAAATAGAGCCTAAATAAATAAATTTAAATTTGCAAAGAAGGCGTAAAGCAAGCTAATAAATTTATTTTCGTGTTTGTTTCTTCTCTTCTCCTCTCCAATTTTTTTTTTTTTTGTTATTTCTATTTTTTTTTCTAACATTAAGGTTGCAACGACCTTGTATTTAAGTGGTGTTATTCAAAGAGAAGAAAGTTAAAAAACAAAAAATAACAAATGAGTAAAATTTTTTCAAGCGAAAGGACATTGTATAGTTGATCTTTTGATGAAAATCTTTTAAGGAAGAAAAACTCATATTTTAATTTTTATGCTTTAATTGCTTTTCTCCTATATTTTCTTAAATATTTTTCGTTTAGTTCAACATAACCTGTTTTGTTTTTCCCCTCTCAAACATTTTCTCTATATTATTGGTTAATTGGCATAATTAAATAAATTTGTATGTAAAAAGGTGATGATCCTTGAATTTTTGATGAGCTTTCAGTTAGATGCTTATGCTTATAAATGTGATGGATTAATTTTTTGTTTTGTTTTTCTTTTGCAAATTTTTGTCGTATCCTTAAAGTTGAATGATTTTTTTTGGAACAGAAACTGAATAAATAAAGATTTAATACCTTAATTTTGCTAATTTAAAAATTATGTTAAATTGGGTTCATATATGCGAGAGATGTTTGGCTGTTTGTAAGCAAAATAAAAATGAAAAAAAAAGTCAATTAAGGTTTAAATAACTTAACGTATAAGAAATAGTTTTAAAATAGCTATTTTAATTTTAGCACTTTCCCAAAAAAATTTTGAAAATATTTTGTGCTTATTAGTTTCACACTGTCGGACCGTCCATCCGTGGACATGTTTACAAAATTTCTACACCCTTGAAGAAACTAGAAACTTATTTTTGAGAAGAAAACGTTTTCCATATCTCCACTGCTTTAAAAATTATAGCTCCTTAAAACTCTTAAAATTCTACTTTTTAGCAATTCATTGCAGTGAAACCATAAGCCTTTTTGAACTTTTCCAAACGCAGAAAAGTGGTGGCTGGCTTTTTCTACAGCGACATAATATCATAAATGAATTTTGAAAATACAATCAAAATTTGTGAAATTTAATTTTTTGCGGCGTCTTATATGTAATTCCGAAACTGTAAGCTTTTCTTAACTCACGCAATTAACCCTTAAATTTCTGCATTATGTTAATGTCTCTTTCAAGTTTTTTTGTTTTATTTCGCAGATTGCAACTATTGTTCATCCTGAATGTATGTAAACTCTAAACCAACATTTGTAACGAAAATAAATTAGTTGTTCATTAACTGTCAGTCATTCATGAAATAAAACACTAAGAGAAAAACGTAAGCACTCTTACTGTTGCTAACGTAAAAAATTTACGCCCGACCCGACGGATACATTTATTCATAAACAAGTGTCATATTTATCGATGCAACAAAAATAAGTATAATAAATTTCTTAAATAATTATAACGTCTTACTTCTTAATTGTAACTTTCTTTATACCAAGCTTTTAGAAAAAAAAAATGGATTCCACGCTTGGAATAAAAATTCCAATGCAATAATATAAATTAAGAGACATGTTGCGCAAAACAACATAAATGGCATAAAGAATATAAAAAATATTTACATCTATGTTATTATTTAAAAATGGTGAAGTGATTAATATCGTTTCTTACATTTCCACCGACCTATAATTTTATTAACAATAAAATTAAACTCTTATTATAAATGGAATTTAATTAAGCACTTAAATTTAAGATAATTTATTAAAATTAAAATCTTAAAGTAACTTTAAAAATTTTACGATAAATAAAAAAAAATTTACGATAAATGAACATTTAATATAAAAGCACGTAAACTGATAATGTCATAAAACAACGTGGTGGACAATTTACATTAACATGTTGCCGTATTTTAACAAAAAAAAATTTACTTACTTGTATCAGTATCTGTACCATATAATGGATCTAAAGCGACACCTCCCGCAACAGCTTGTACAGCACCTTTCAATTTTCTTCTAGCATTATATCGTTTTAATTCTTCCACCGTTTCAGCTAAATGTATTCTTTGTAATTTGTCTCTATCCTATAATTTTTTTAATTTTTCAAATTAATTCAATCGATATCATTATAACTTGGTTAATATTAATATCTTACCCTCATCCATGGATGATCTAATACTTCTGATATCGTCAATCTATGACTAGGGCTAGTTGATAACATTTTTGATACTAAATCTTTGGCCGAAGTTGAAATTGGTTTCCATTCGGGTGCATCAAGCTACAATAAACAATTAGATTATCGTAAAATACTAAATCCATATAAGTGTATAAAAATTATAGTAAATATTTGTTTCTTCTAATATAATAAATTCTACAGGTTCTTATGAACCAACAATTAAAAAACACTTTCATCTATATAATTATTACAAAATGATATTATTCGTATAATACTTTTCATAATTATTATATAATAAATTAATACAAAATACGTACCGCTAGTCTCCCTCTCACTATCGAATCTTGTAATCTTTTTCCAGAACCAAGAAAAGGCAAACGTCCTGATAATAATACATGTAACATAACACCAGCACCCCATACATCACATGCTTTAGCATAAAGTCGTCTAGAAACTACTTCTGGTGACATATAATGAGGACAACCAACACGTCCTGTAAATATATTCAAGTAAAAATTTATGAAAATTGTGTAAAAAGAAAATGGGGAAAAAAACATAATGAAAAACAGAGAAAGAAAACAGACTTTTTATTTATAAAATAAGCAAAATTGACTTAAAAGAAAATGAAAAATTTTGTTGCCTATTTACAAAATGGGTTATGTCACATTTATTACGAGATTTCATTTTAAACAATTCTGTTATAATAAATTTGTTTATTTCTATGTATTTATATAAAAACAAGCTAGGAATAAAGGAAATATGAATTCTATTTGTGATTGTCATCAAGGAATAAGGATAATAAGGATTTTTATTTAATTTTTCATTTCTTAGTCCGTTGTTGGACAATTAATATAAAGATAAAACAACATAAGTTTTTAACACAGTACAGTACTGTGTAAAATATTTGGAAGGAATACTCTTTTTAGAATAAAATAAACTATTTTCTCTATATAAATCTCTACAAAATGCAGAAATTGAACTTAGATATGAATTTTCATCAAAATCAGCTCAGCCGAAATTAAGATACCGAACCTTATTTTTCTAAAAAGAGGCCGTAGTTTGCATTACGCTTAGTAAAGAACGCTGTCAACACATTTTTTATTTAAAAGTGTATATGACATTCAATCGAACGAAATGTGGTCTCGTCAAAAAAGTGATATTTACAATACAGTGACTGAAATCAGTCACTAATACACAATATCAGTGTGAGCCACAATACAGTAACTGTTACAATACGGTGACCGAAACAATACGGTGACCGAAATCGGTTTTTAAATCTAAATCAAACCGATTTGTTCAGATAAGTTGATTTAATGGTATGAAACATGAATAATATGAGCATATATAGTGCTAAGAATATTACGCCACAGTGTTATTGTTCTCTTAAAATAATTAATTCATTGTTGCCATAATATCTCAACAAAATTTTCAAAAATATTATATACTTTCTTCAATTCCAAAGCTCATAAACGTTTAATTAATTTAATAAAAGCCAATACTTAAGAGAATTAATACAAATTTCTATAGAATTCCCATATACTTCAATAATAACTTATGCAATAAGAAAATAATTTGTTTTTAATGTTTTACACTGTACTGTTGTCACAGAAATATATACATACATACATATCATACATAATATAATATTTTTATGTACTCTTTTCTGTTTGCTTAAAGATATTTCGTTATACGATATAACAAAAGTAGTCTTCACATTCTCTTTTGTATATAACAGTATAAAATGTTAAAGAAAGACAAATATTATGTGTAGAGTTGCATAAAATTATTCATTTAGTTTTGACGTCCAGTAAACATTAAACATTTGCGCATACATATTATATATATATATATACATAATTATGTATAAGAATGTTACATACAGTTATACTGGGTAAAAAAAATATGAATAATTTGTGTGCAAAAATATATACAATAATAAAGTTGGGTCAAACCAATGGTTTGTATTGTAGCACTTTTCCCTTCAACAAGTGAAAATACTGCTCTATGTATTTTTTTTGAAGTTTAACTGTAGTATGCCGCAATAGCAGGAGCAAGCCACTGCTTTTCTGCGTTTGCAAAATTTGAAAAATGCTTATGGTTTCACTGCAATAAATAGTTAAGAAAATGGCATTTTTAGGGTTTTGGGAGGGTATAACTTTCTATCTTGAAGGGTGTAGAAGTTTTGTAGACATATTCACGGACGGATAGAGGGACGGACAAAGTGAAACTAATAAGCACTTTTTTTCTAAAATTTTTTCAAACGGTACTCCCAAAGGTCGGGCAATAGAATAAGTGCAAACGAAGGACAAACTAATAGAAGACATTTTCGTTTTCAAAGAGCGTTTTCGAGAAGAAGTCTCAAAGTTGGTCTGTTTTTGAGAATCGTCTATTATAAAATTTCTTACAACTCCGAAAATACCTTCAAGTATCGAACATCCCGTATACATAAATATTAATTTTCGAAAAATATCCATATGCACATAATAACAAGAAGAAGAAGAAGAAAATTTTTATGTATAAAATTATTATCCTTGCATTACGCTGCAAAGAAAATTTATCGAAATTGTATATAGGTACTTGTTATATAGATGGACGTTGTTATATTATAGACATTATATGTCATATGTATAACATAATTTTATCATTATTAAGTTAAAATATTAACATGTATGCATTACATATAAAGAAACATTTAAGAAAACGGAAACAGAAATAGACAGGAAATTTGAAAAAAACTCATAACAAAAGCAATATAAAGTACAGTAACAAAACAATGAAAAGGACGAACAAAGAAATAAACAAAATAAATGACAATAACAAAAACAAAATAATAACGAATAATAATAATGATAATTTAAATAAAAATGAAAGAAGAAAATTCTAGGTTATTAAGGTAAATATTTAATATTATTAAAGCATTTATATGCACATACAGTAAAAAAAAAGCACATAATAAAAAAAGAATGGAAAGCACAAAAAATACACATATCGTAATTTACACAATACACATAAAATATTGCACTATATACATACATGTGTACATACATAATATATGTAAATAATTTATTATAGTTTACATAAAAGAGGACATCCTTTTTATCCTTTTTCTTTATTTTTTACCTAAGTACGTACATTTTTTTCTCTATGCTATAAAAAATAAACAAAAAAGGATATAAAAGATAACAATTTTAACGACGTAAGTAAGTACAATAAGGACACTTTTGTGATATATATATACACATAATTTACTATATATATCATATGCTACTAAAATTTACTGCTGACAATTTTTGATGCCATTTAGAATTTCTGCAATTCAAATAAAAACCGAACAAACATGAACAAAATATCAAGAATTAAAATAAAAAAAAAAATATGTACATAAGTACGTATAATATGTGATCAGCACATAATCGATCGCGTCGTGTATACTTTCTCAACAATATTTACAAATTCCAATAAATCTAATTTTACACTGGGTTAGCAAAAGAATCACTAATTTCAAATTTCTTCACTTAAAAGAAAGTAAATCTAGGATCTCGGAAAATTCAAATTTCTAGAATTCCATTTCCTGAACAATATTGTAATTAATTTCGTTGACAAAAAATACTTAAATAATGATATTCCAAAAAATATTTTTTATCAACACATAACGCATACACAACCCATACAATTTTTACACGCAGCCATACAATTTTTTGCTGGATATTGATTAAAGAATCATTCCTGAAATTATTTGCCTTCTTACTCGAAACACCCTGTTCATATAATATTCGTTTAAATAAATACAAAAGTGTAAATTTAATCTCTTATGTAGTTCAAGGGAATGGGCTATAATACTATTGAAAAACCTGCCAGTTTCATCATATTCTCAAACAGGATAGTATGTAAATTTCAAGATTACTAAAAATATATAAGATCGCCCGGAATTGTTCCAAATTTCTACAAATCTTCTACAAATCTAAGTTGCATATACAAATCTTCGTTCCGAAATTATAGCACATAGACGAATGCTCAAATAAAATGACAGATTGAGAAATATAGCCATATCTTGCAATATTTACATACTTCATTTGTACTCCATCGTCAGAGGAAAATATGGATGCATAAATGAAAACTCTATGAAAAAATATAATTGTTTTGCTATAGCAATACCAGTTTTAATGAAAAAAGTATAGAATATGGTGAAAGATCCCATTTTAATATTAACTTGTGAATAGCTATTTACCATTAATCTAAACACTAAAAATCATGATTTATAAAATATGATAAGAAGGTCATTCTAGAAATATTTTTGTTTTATAAATACTTTTAGCACTCAATATAAAACTAAGTTATAACATCTTTAATTAATATTCCTTTATCACAAATAATTATTAATTTATTCATCTTAGGGTAGATTAATCAATATTAGATTAAGAGCATCTACTCAAATTTATTTTTATTGCAATCCCAAGGTTTTTTAAATTTTAGATAGAAGGGGTCATAGTCAAATCAAGAATGTAATATCAAAGTAATTTATTTAGTTTCTTTTCTTTTATTATTCTACATCAATATTTTGTAAACAATAAAAACATTTGTTATGAACAAGATCTAAATAAAATTAGGTTTACCGCACAAATTTAAAATTTTTAAATTTAAATTTTAAAATCAGATTTAAATTTTTATAATTTCAGGATGAATGAAATTTTTGCACGTTATTTCAATTGATTTGATATTTATAAGGATAATGGCAACATTTTTATTAAATTTTTTATTATTATATAAGGTAAATATTATAATTTAAGCTTTTGTCCAAAAATTCCTATTCAAATTGATTTTATTATTTTGATTCATTACGTTTGTAATTGAGAAAAATAAACTAAATATGAAAATTTAAAACGAAAATTTAAGTACCAAATTTTGAAACGCAAGAGTATCAAAGGTATACAGATGAACCTCTATATGACGCCATTGCCATAGGGAATATAGTCCTAGTATTATAGGGAATCTCTATTTAATGAACTCTGCATATTACGAACAAAACTTCTATGGGCATTCCACTGTATTTATTTTTTTTCTCTGTTTAAGAGTATTGCTTGAATATTGAAAAACAAATCGCTTTTCAAAAACACCTAATTGATGTCAAATAAGTACTTTAATAATAAAAAATATTTTATTTTATAAAAACAAAAATTTTTCATTCTCAGAAAATATTAACATTGAAAATTTAATTTCCTTTCAAGCTTCCTTTTTTTGGATTTTTAAAAAAAAAATATTGATGAAAAAAATTGTCGAGGGTTTGAGGAGCTGTATGCAAATTTGAATTTAATTTTTCCACATAATTTGAATAATGCAGCTTCAACGCAATTTCCGAGAGTTGCGAAAATAATTATTTACGATTAATTGTACGATTACGCTGTAAACATTACCAGAGAAATCTTAGAAGCTATAAAACAATTTGCACCTAACAACTCTTTTTCTCAATTTATGTAAACAAAATTTTCTGTTACA